TCCCGGCAACAAAATCCCAATACACAAAATCCCGACAAATTAAATTCCTAATTTTAATATTTTTAGAATTTTAATTTGTCAGGATTTTGTGTATCAGGATTTTGTTGCCAGGATTTTGTATGTCGGGATTTTGTGTGTTGGGATTCTGATATACAACCATTTCATGGAATATGTTCCAACTTGGGGTAGGTAGAACTGGTAATTTGTTTAGAACTGCTAGTAGTACATTAATAGCGAGTTTCTCAAACTGGTATTTTATGATTGGCTTTGTGTCTTGGTGTTCGGTTACTGGAATTTTGTTAGCCAGTTCGGGTTGATTCTTTAAAATATATGCTTTGAACATTTCTAATATTTTTGGATGTTCAACTATTTTTTTATTTTTATTATTATTTTTCACAGGCATATCAATCCAGGATTCTGATAGTTGATGGAAGTAGTAATATTTGTTTAATTCTCTTGCAGTTTCAGTTATTTGTTTTATTGAAGTTAGAGGTATTGATATTTCTACTTCCTTTATTTTTCTATGATCTTATGGGAGTTCTGGTCTGTTAGTTAGATTGTATGTTATATATTCTAGTAAGAAAGCATTAGGAATGTTATAACTATCTGGCATATTTTAGATGAACTCCAATGCAATTTCTTTATCTGTGATTGGGAAAGTAAAATTTGGTTTTATTTTTAATTTATTTGGATCTATAAGTAGATATTTTTTTGTGATGATGAAATCATTTAGTATTCTTTTGAATGAGTAGTATTCCTTTAGTATCTCTACATGTTTTTTAAAATGATCTTGATTACATGAATAGAATAGAAACATATGTCTTATATTAATATTGAGCTCTTGAGTAGTTGATGGTAAATTTTGTTTTGATGATGGAAGCTTGAAGTATAACTTTGGTAATTCTTTATTTAGAATATAGTGCACACTTAACATTCTTCTATACTCTCTAAGTTTGAATAAGTTGGATCTTTGTATAATAGGAAAGTGGTGATATACTGAAGGCAGGAGATCTTTTGGGTTATCAGGTAGGGGCTCTCTTAATTCTTCAAAATAGAATTCTAGTAATATCGAGAAATTGTATAACTTTTTCATGATATGTGCAATCTATTTGGTGAGTCTTTTATCAGTAATTGGTAGATTAAAAGGTAAAATTTCCTTTATGTTATTAGGAATACCCTCTAAAAAATTTAGTAATCTCAGAAGAGTTTCATCTATAATATCCTCTATAGTTCTTCTTACTTTCTTGAATTTCAAGTTATGTTCTATATTTGTGAATCTGAGACAATAGAATATTAATCTTGCATTGTCATGGAGATCTTGTACTATGATATCTAAGTTTTTTAAAAAGTCAAAAGCTAATTTCATCTTAAGCATTTTAAATACTTAGTCTCTATTTTTTTTATTGGTCATCAATATATTGTATTGACACTTGTAGTTGTCTAATGTCTTGTGGAAAAGTAAGTCGAACTCTAACTAATGTGCAGGTTTTAAATCATGTCTTCTGGTAAATATACGGAAAAACCCTGTATCCATATACTTTAGCTTTATGTTTATTGCATGTGGGATGCTTATATTCGCTAGTCTTGTCGTATATTTGTATTTAAGAAATTCTAAAAATTTTTTTAACGTCTTGTACTTTTTTGTATTTTTATGTTATTTCAAAGACTTGTATCGAAGAGATTAGCCTGTTTTTCACATGTATGTTGTGCAATCACTTTTATCTATCTGTCTCTTATTTCTTCATATAATTCTACTTTCTTGCTATTCTTTAGTAGTACTTGTTTATATGAAAGTGTTTGCACTATGGATGATAACTTTTTTTGTTGAGTGAATATTCTCATATTTGTATCTTCAGTGTGTGACTTTGCTTTTTCATTCATCTCTTCTGTATTTGTGGATTCTTCTAGACTATTCTTTTCTAACTCAACTATATTACTCTATGATCAATTATCATTTGTGAGAAGATTTTGGTTTGTTGTTGTATTGAGATCCATGGCTGTATCTTCTTGAGAGATTTCTTAAATTTTTATTAAAGTATTAGCAGTGCTAGAAAGTGTTTTGTTATAGTAGAGTGTGCGTGTTTCATTTTTTTCCTGTTTTTATTATTTCTATTTGAGTCATTGCTACAACTATGATTCACTCTTGTCGACTCTTCTATAACTATATTCATATCTTGAGCCATACATATTATTTTTCTTGTGTTTTGCCCTACAAAGGGCAGAAAGGCTTTTGGAGAAGTAAATAGGCTTTTTTGTACTTTTTCTTTTATCTTTTAGATAATTTTCATATTGTAAAATTCAATTTTTATATAATTTTTCAAATCAGATAGTTATATTATTTTTGTAAACTATATATAAAAGTTGTTGGATTATCCCATTTTATTTTCTTTCACTTTTTGTTTCTCTATTTCTCTTGTTTCTTTTATTTTGTTACTTTATTTATTTCTTTTCCTTTATTTCCTTTTATTGCACTATTCTACTTCATTCTTTTCTTTCACTTTCACCTTTTCTTTATGATTCTTATTTTTATTCTTCTTACTATACTTCTTATACTTTCATATATAGTTATCAGATATTTGTTGCTGGTTGGTGTCTCAGAGAAAAGCAGAAGAAAAGATCAGTTAAAAAACTTATAACTCAAATAAAAAGCTTATTAGAAGCCATGTTTTATGCCAGAACTACAAGTTTAAGAAATAAAATGTTTGCGACTAAAATATAACAAGAGTTATTCAAATAGTTGCAAGAAGATGAAATTAACAAGACTGATATATCTAAAATCTTGACAATTTCAAACTGGATCAGTGGCTTCTCAAAAGCTTGGAAATGAACAATGGCAGAACTTTCTTTAGAAAATACATTATAAACTATAATAAATGTAATATGTATCTACATTTACTGTATATATTAGTTTTTATACTTTTTTTTCTCTTTTCATATCACGTTTGTCACCTATATTGTTGCTATTTTTATTTGTATTCATGTTTTTTTTTTTTTACTGTATTAATCATAACCATGATTATATTTGTTACTTATTATAATCGCGAATCTGATATGAGTTAAAAGTAAGTTTCTTATTTACAGAATAATAATTATTTTTTTTTATTATAAATTGCTTTTAAAACTTTTAATTAGAGTATTTGTATAATAAAAAACTAGTTATCGATAATTTTCTTATACTTTGTCTTTTTAATATTTTTGAGTATTCTTTACTATATTATAGTAAATCAATAATTTTTTCTCCAAATTTATATAATAAATTTATGCCAATTTTATTTGGATTGGCAATTAATATAGTTAATTAGAAGAATATATAATTCTTTAGATTAAACCTTATAAAATAGATATTTTAGTATTAAATTGAGAATATTTGTTAGTTTTTTTTTTTTTGGTATTAAGGTAACCTCCTTGACCTGGGGACTTTTTATTAGTAATTATTAGTTATTATAGCTACATTGAAGATATAACTAGCCACACGTACACCTTTTGGGTGCCTATTTAAGTAGTCTGCCTGCAGGTTCTACACTAGATGTCATATCTATAACCCAACTAGGGAGTTACCCTTTTAAACCTTCTGATTCTAACTGTATTTATAACCTATCATACTAACCCGGGAACTACCATCTGGCCC